AAGCGTAAATGTCATTTTTCAAATAAAAGAAAAACTTTAGGTGCCAAATCTTTAGTTACTTTAATTACCAAAATAAAAAAAAACTCACGGAGCAGGTTACGTACCGTGGGTAATGGAGGAGGCTAACCGAAAAATTCTGGCTCTTAAATAGGATGATAATCCATCTTATAAAATAAGCTATATACTACCGCTATATTGTATAACATAATCATTATTTTTTTCCCTCTGAACGGGACGCCTGTAAATTTGTTAATGTTTTAAAAATAAAAACATATTTGTGATAGTTACGAAATGTTTAACGATCAAAAAAATTTAAAAACAAGAACTAAAAATGTTTAACGACGAAAAATTTGTGCTGGCTTCATATATTTTTCGTTTTCGCACCATTTTTTTAAAATTTGTTGTCACGTGTGTCCTGTTTTGTCAACGCGGAACATTTATAGTATTTTGGGGACAGCGAGAAACGGAACTTAAGAGCGGGACACACGGTCACGGTTATCTATAATAATAAATAACGGCCACCGTAGCCGAACGGTTATCATGCTTGACAGCCACGCACATGTCATGGATTCGATATCCGAGCCGGTAGAAATGTTCGTATGGCCTACATTTCTTTCTCTAGTAGGTTTGGGTCTAATTTGTGGTTGTCTATGTATGTGCCTACTACAGTTCATATAAGTAAATAAATATAGTACACATAGAGAACATTGCGAAACGTGTCCAGTTAAACGGGTTGTTATGACATGACTGGAAAAACTAGGAAATAAGTTTGTCTAGAAATTAACCACTGACTGAGTTCTCAGGATGTTTAGTCGCGTAATAAGTTGGTCTGCACTAATGTGCAGAGACTGCTAATGCAGAGTGTTAAGTAAGATATAAATAATAATATATAATAATTAAATTAATTAATAAAACGGATCGAGGGATTTTTTTCTAAGACGAAATACTTTCATAGATTTCTCATAGATGGCGCTACGGCTAAAAAGTCGTAGAAAACCAAATAAAAAGATTCGGCAAACAAGCACATGAAAATATTCGTGAGGTCCGCTGGTTCGTTCCGTGGCTTAGTTGGCATAGCGTCTCGGTATGAATCCGGCCGGGTCGAAGCATTTTTTTCTAAGTGTTGGATCTTTGTATTAAGAATTATAAAAAAATAATAGAATATCCATTCAGTAATAATTTAATATACCGGGTGGAAATTTGTAATGCCACCTGGAGGGAAAGTACTCTAAATACTGGAGATATAAATTTTTACTTAAAGGAAACAGTCCTTTATTTTTTAAAAGAAATAAAACTGCATTCAAAGATTTTCGATAATGTCTAGCAACACGCGGGAATCAAACCCGCTTTAATCTGAAAAAAAAAAAGCACCCTGCACTTTTATTGCATCGATCGATAGGGTTAATTATAAGAATAAAATCTTTCTCACAAAATTGGTTAATTAAATGAACTAATTAGTTGCTCGAAATGAGCTCCATTTTCTTGGATACACAAATTTCATCTTTTAACGAATTCATTTTGAGTAACTCTTAATAACGTGTTGTGATGAATTGTATTACAAATCGTATTCTGAACCTCAGCCTTCAACTTGTTTACACTCGCATACGATTTAAGGTAAATTTGATTTTTAACATATCCCCACAAATAAATCTAAACGGGTGAGATCTGGTGATCTCGCACGCCATCTGATTGTGCCGTTTGTACCAATCCAGGTATTAAAATGGTTACTAATATAGGCAGTAGTGACTCTGCTGTTATGGGCTGAAGCGTCATCTTGCTGCAGAATTATTCGATTTCGCTCTTCCTCGGATAAGACATTTAACTCATTTCTTAAGAGATCCAGTATTTCAAGATACTTGACAGTGTTCAAATATTACTAAACTGCCTCCGTGGACGAACGGTTACCCTATTGGATTGCCACGGTGAGGTACCGAGTTCGGTTCCCGGGCCGGTCGGGAAAAGTATTTGTATGGCCTACATTTATTTCTCTCTTGAGTTCGGGTGTAATTTGTTGTTGTCTACCTATGTGTGTGTCCATTGCACCCACGATACACGGTTTCCCCAGTGCGGGGTTATGAGTGTATGCGTTATTTATTTTATAAATAAATAAGTAATAAATAAATATTAGACGTCACATACGTTGCTTTGTAAAAAGTAATTATTTACATCACCAGAGAAAACATTTATACGTCCCACTACTAGACACGCGTCTCCTTTATTGAAATGTAACCGTTTTCCTATTAGGCCACCATCATAAATAAATATTAGACGACCTCATATTATTGTTCTTTTGGAATCAAAAATCAAACAAAAAATGTTTTTATTTCAAGAAACAATGTTTACAATTTTAGTGGCCAAAGAATACCTTTTAAGTAATAAATTATACTTGTGCAGGGATTCCCACTCTTCCTTATTCTAAACAATATCTAAATTTAAGATTGAGTGATTGAGTAAACTCAAGTAATACAGGCTTGAATTTGTAAAAAGGACAAAGAAAAGATAATTAAAATTAACAAAAGATGATAAACATCAAAGAATGAAATGTGCGAGTAGTGAGTGAGTGAGTGAGTGTTTGTGTATGTGGGTGAAGTGTGTTATTTACGTGGGTTTGCAAGTTTATAATATTTAATTTTAAAATCAAGAAACATTATGTTATCTAATATTCATTAAGTAACTAAAGCACTCGTGAATCATAAAAAAAATTAAATTGAATTTTAATTTTTTTCTGTTTTCTGTGTTAGTGTCTGTAGCTATCGTAGTTCAATAATCTTTGACCGTGAGGGGTTCCCTTTGGAATAATTGTTACTTCTATAAAATCAATTAAAGAAAAGACCTTTCCTGAATTGATTCCGAACTAGATGTTTTGGTTAGTGCCCTTCTCGTATACCCTAAGCCCCCAGTTACACGAGGCGGAAGCCCTCGCGCGGCCACCGCGCGGCGACCGCCCAGTTACCGCGCATTCATGTACATTAACGGCGAATCTGAATTCTATTTACTAGGCAACAACATTTAAATTCCTCCGAATAATACAACCGCGTGGTCGCCGCGTAGACCAAAGACAAACCAGCGTCGCCCTCGCTCCCTGGACGGACGCTCATTTAAGTTAAAACATAAAAGCTAAAGGAATAGAGCGTATTTCGCCATGACAATTAGACGCACGCGGTCGATGTGCGGCGGTAACGCGGATTCCGCTAGCAACAGCGATGAAATTCGTGTCGAATATATGCGCCCTAAGGGTCGATACGGGGCTGTTTTATTTGTAGATATATTTAAAACTTTAGAGCAAGCACAGTAATGAATTTACATACTTATTTTGCAGAACTTACTTACAACTTAGGAAATGAAACTATTTTTCCGGATTTAAATCGCGTATATTTGTTTTTTCAGACCTAAATGTAACAACATGTTTTGCAATAAACGTTTATTATTATTATTATTTATTATTTTCAAACAAACCGACGTTTCGGACCCTTTACAGGTCCCATGGTCACGGTTGACTGAGGTGGTACAGTCTTCAACCAGTTATGTCTAAACATCCTAAAACATCCTAATTTCAACAGGGAAGATGGTTTCTCCGTACCACCAGTTTGGGATCCAGTATTTCCTCTAATGAAAAATCCCAAACAGACATAAGACTGCACTACTAATTAATATGTTTTAGTTTATTCTAATTTCTATTACTAATTAATAATAAATTAAACTTAATAAAAATTCATTCAATAAAATAATTTGTAAAACTTAATGTAGCGTAAATTGGAATGTTTTCTTTGTAAAATTAAAAATAAGGTATTTAATTAATAACTATTGTAACTATAGTGATAAAATAGAGTGGTTTGCATTAATATTAGACATAACTGGTTGAAGACTGTACTACCTCAGTCAACCGTGACCATGGGACCTGTAAAGGGCCCGAAACGTCGGTTTGTTTGAAAAAACAAATATACGCGATTTAAATCCGGAAAAATAGTTTCATTTCCTATGTGTAACAATCGCGAAAACCTAAGAACTCGATATGTTACTTACAACTTACTAAAGGGGGTCGTAGATCTCGTGTCGCTGACTCAATTTCTCTAAAAACGTCGATTACGTTAGTTATAATAAGGACGGCAGAGTTGCGCGTTGCACCTTACTCTTTATTTGTTCACTGTACTCCGTTTTTGGTTTTTAATCTACTTGAAAAAAAAAAGAGAGTAGGTGCTTCATTCAACTAACTAAATGCGACAACTCTTGTGATAAGATTTGTGAATCGATTTTAATTCGTTTTTTGTTGAAAAGAGGGTACTTCAGTATTGGTCCCATTTAAATTTGAAGGAAATATTCCACCTCGAAGTGTGGCAAACTAGGAGATGAATCCATTGATTTACAAATAAATGGACGACGGGTCTAATACAAAAACCACGAAAAAAATGTCCCAAGTCAACCTATTTAAACGTAGTGACATGTAAAGGAATATGAAAAGGCTAAAACGTTGAATTTAAATTGTAATGTCATCGCAGTACTGTCTAATTTTGCTTGCTTCGCTGTCAGTCGAACAAACGAAGACTAGAGCGTGAATGACGCTCTGTATATGATTTTAACGCCCTATAAGTTCGGACACTTTTTAGCGCGGACCCGACGTCCATATAATTGTAAGTCAATGGATGAATCCGATTTCGCGCACTTTCCGGTAACCGATTTCAATAAAACTTGGCAAATGGATGTAATTCCACAAACTTTAGAGGCCTTATCGAGTTCTTAGGTTTTCGCGATTGTTACACATAGGAAATGAAACTATTTTTCCGGATTTAAATCGCGTATATTTGTTTTTTCAAACAAACCGACGTTTCGTCGTTTTCGTAAAGGGCCCGAAACGTCTAAAATAGTTTCATTTCCTATTTAGAGGCCTTTTTTCTTTTTTATAAAAAAGTTATTCTGTCTTCCTTTTTCCTTTTAAATTCCCCTAGATTATTAGTCTACCACTAGGCCACAACCGTTGAAAATAAAAATTTAAAATTACTTACGTATTAAAGACAGGAAGCAAGCCAGCGGCACTGCAGACTGCATTATCAGAATCCCTATTTCACTAAATTTATATTAACAAATCTAATAACGTTTAGTTCTTTTATAATATAACTTCAAACTTTATATTAAAGCTGTTATCTCTGTAATCTTAACTATTATAAACATTACCTACTAATTGGAAATTATTTAACTATTACATCAAATGTCTTCGATAATAATAACGTGTGTAACTTATTTATTATTTTATAGTCTTTTATTATATTTAATTTAATTTATATATATATTAAAATTTACGTGTTAAGCGATCACAACGCGTGTGCTTTTCGTCGGACTGGTAAAGTTATTTGTAGTAACTGTAGTGTGAATATAGGGTTCCTTGCTAGAGTGGGGTGACAGTGCATGGACTTTGGCGTAGCTCGCACGCGTGCATTTTTTATGATTTCAAGTGACAGGTGTCCTGATCGTCTTGTTCGTACAGGTCGTGTGACTGGTGGTAAGCGGCACGCCTTTCCAACAGTTGCGAGTGCCAATCAAAGTTTTAAACCGCAAAAATCTGACTTTCTCGACATCTGTCACCTTGAGACATTAAGTTGACAAGTCCCATGGGCTTGTAGTTTTAAATACACTCCCGGACACATAATTCGCGCCATCTCGCCTTTTCTGCACTAAATGCGCCGTCGAGTATATAATCAGAAATAGAGACGAAATGTCATTCACTTTTTATTTTTATGGCTCCATCATTATGAGAAGTGATGATTTTGCCAATGTCACAGTTGAAAGAAAAAAAAAACGAAACAAAAAAAAAATTCGCTAAGCTCTAATAGAACATTAACCGGTGTTGGTAAGTTGGACTACGGGAGTACTCAGTTGAGAATGTAAAACAAAACAACAAAACAACATTTATAAATATATGTTATTTAAGTGGATAAATTTACATAGAGTAACAATATGGGGGGAGAACACTAAAGTTAAGAGGTTGTTTATGTTAATGGGGCGGGGGAATTTTGGAGAAAGTAAGTTATAAAGTGGAACAGCAATATTAGGACAATTGAAAAAAATGTGTTCCAAGGTACCGTCTTCAAGGCCGCACTCGCACAGAGAGTGATCTCGAACTCTGATTTTACGCAAAAATACAGGTGTGCAAACATGGCCTAAGCGCAAACTAATAATAGTGGAAGTGATGTTTTTAGGCAAATCGCGACGTTTAAAAAACTAGGGTTTAGTGGGCAGATTTGGTTGGAGGTTACCATAGTGTCTACCAACAGTTTGTCGTGATTCCTGCCAAAGGACCGACCAGGAGGCTAGCATTTGGGGTTTGGTCATGGCGAGCAGATCTCTGGGAAAGCACTTACAGTATTTGCATACGCCAATTCTTGTCGCATCCTTTGCAAAGGCGTCTACTGCTTCGTTGCCACTAATCCCACTGTGACCGGGAATCCAGGCCAGAGTTACCTCAATTCCCGCACAATGACATCGGTACAGAGCTTCCTTAATTTGGAGGGTGATAGAGAAATTGTCTTTGGAAAATGTCATTTAATTTGTTTGAAAGCTATTCTGCCAAGTCATTACGGTGACAACTTTACTGCGCTCCGATTGGCCAGCCCGAATTCGAAACAACTGACGGTTGTCGTCAAATTGTTTCACTTCAAATCGATCAGTTTAATTTCAGCGTTACTATAATGGACGAAAATTGCAATATTACATATTTAATTACCGATGAAATTTGATTCCGTTTGTTTTATAATTAGACGTTTTGCTGTTTTTCCCCACACCACCGAATGGAACAGTCCCCAATAGTTAGAGATATTCAATAGATCTTTATTACAATATAGAATATTTTTTGGAATATACGAAGACGTACACACAGGTCAGTTGTTGGCACTGTCTATACAGTGCAAACGAGATTTGATATTTATAAGTGACGTATTACTGATGAGTTACGAGTAATGTATGGGTCTTATTTCGTCTCTATTTCTGGTTATTTACTCGATGACATGCCCTAAGCTTAAACAATGTTTGATTGATCATTAACTATTAAGCAATTTTGAAACTAGTATACTAAACGTCTTTTCCATAAATCCTGGTTGGAAATTTGGATTTGCAAAACCGGGGTAAGCTTTTTCTTCAACGATAATACTACCTTTGTATTCTAACCCTTTAAGACAAAAATGCGAGGTGGTTCGTGTTATGAGTCCGGGAGTATATAAACATTAATGTAAGCAAGTACTGTCAGTAAAGTTGAAGCTTTCCCATGCCAAAACAATTCTTATTAATACAGTGTGAACGCAGGCAGGCACGTTTACGCACACGCAGACTTATATTTTTTTAATATAGTAATATAAACTATTTTATATCTTCACTTTTTTTTTGGTTCCGCAAAATGTGCGGAGTTTGAAGTGCCGTTACTTTGTTGACCATTGTTTTGGATAAACTTTTTGTTCAATATAAAATACCTTTTTTTATAAAAAAAACCGACCTCAATAGTTCGCGGGATTACACCTAATTGCCTAGTTTTATTGAAATCGGTTACCGGAAAGTGCACGATGTTGGATTCTTCCCCTAATTTGCAACCTTAGAGGTGGAATATTTTCTTCTAATTTAAATGGGAATAATTCAATACTGAGGTACCTTTTTTCTATCAAAAAAAGAATCATCATTTTAGGTTCTCAAATGCCGGAGTAATAGCGTTTTCGTGTGTGTATACACACGAAAAATACAGTCCAATTATATTAATAATAATAACGCACACACTCAACATAGCCCCGCAATAGGGAAACCCTGTGTCGCGGGTGCCATGGACACACATAGACAATAGCGTTAAGTCAACAATAGCGTTTAAAGGCTAGATCATATTTTTAAACGAATTCAAAAAAGAAGAAGGTTCTCAATGAACTGCCTCCGTGGCCGAACGGTTACCATGCTGTACTGCCACGCAGAGGTCCCAGGTTCGATTCCCGGCCCAGGAGAAATATTTATATGGCCTACATTTATTTCTCTCGTGAGTTTGGGTGTAATTTGTGGTTGTCTATGTGTGTGTCCATGGCACCCGCAACACAGGGTTTCCCCTAGTGCGGGGCTACGTTGAGTGTGTGCGTTATTGTTATTATTATATATCAACATGACCCTGTTAGGCCGCAGTAAAAATATATATATATTTATAAATTCTGAAAATAAAAGAATATAATATAAACTTATTTTAAAGAAAAACTAATTAATTAAAAATAATAATAGCAGAACAAAGATTATAACAAAAAATAATATTTTATCATTCAAAAGGTAACCCGTCAACTTTGTCGATAGTACAACCGAAGTTAAACCCAGTGAATTTCCCTTGCAAGGTGCAGAAAGAAAACCTGTAGGTTGCGTTACCAGCCTTTCTATTAGCAACTGGTTTCATAATTGCGAACTGAATATCTGACATTATGTTAGGAAATAACGCTCGACGGAAATAAGTTAGTGGGCTATCGAGTTAAATACTGAATAAAATTAGATACCTGGACTTCTATTGGGTATTTTGCATTTTCTGTTAAAATATGTACGTTCAAAACCTTGAGTAGTTGGATGAGGAAAATCTATGGTAACGCACCGTTTAGCTCTTTTTCCTTACCTTGAGCACGCCAACTCTCCCGGTCTTGTGCCGCCCGTATCCATCCGCTGCTGGCCACGTTTCTTTCGTCCGTCCATCTTGCCGCAGGGCGTCCTACAGTACATTTCCCTCGACGTGGTCTCCATTCCAGAACAAGTCCACTTTAGTTCTCTGACGTATGACGTCGTTAGGGATTCCGTCCATCAGAGAAACCCCAAGCTTAGCTCGCTCTATCGCACGCTGAACGATTTTGAGTTTATTGATGAAGCCTGTCGTTTAATGTCCACGTTATCATCAGATAATGACACGTTCAAACTACGCGATTCGGCATGTAATATAAATCCGTTGGTTCATTTTATTTTTATTATTGTTGACATTAAAATGACAACGATAACTAATGTTGCTTATTAAATTATTTTTTTAGAACTAAACTTATTAACTGCCTCCGTGGCCGAACGTTTACCATGCCGGACTGCCATGCAGATGCAGTGGTCCCAGGTTCGATTCCCGGGCCGGCAGAAATATTTGTATGGCCTACATCTATTTGTCTCTTTGTCGAGTTTGGGTGTAATTTGTAATTGTCTATTTGTGTGTCCACGCGACACAGGGTTTCCCTAGTGCGGGGCTATGTCCAGTGTGTGCGTTATTATAAAAAAAAAACAAAAAAAAAACTAAACTGATTGGTTATAGTTCAACCGTTTTTCTTTCATCTATCATTTCGCCATAGTGAGTGAATTCGAAACAATTGACGGGTGTCGTCAATTGTTTCACTTCAAATTGACCAATTAACTTGAGCTTTGCTGTAATGGACGAAAATTGGAAAATTACGTATTTAATTACCGATGAAATTTGATTCCGTTTGTTTTGTAATTAGAGGTTTTGCTGTTTTTCCCACACCACCGAATGGAACAGCATGCCTTTGTTAGAAATATTATGTGTATTACAATAAATACAGAATATTTTTGGAATAGACGGAGACGTACACACAGGTCAGTTGTTGGCGCTGTCTATATTTGTATCATTGATGAGTTACCAGGAGTATATGGCCCTTATTTCGTCTCTATTTCTGGTTATATACTCGATGGTTCCTTCGCTCGCTCAGGTTTCAGTACAAACAACAACTACAACTTTATAGCCTTGCATAACAAATAACGATTAATTCCAGAGCCCTCTGCGGTCGCATTGAAGCGTACATAACATCTCTGCCGCCACCGTTCCGCCTCGTTCGACCGCTGCTAGCGCGCGCAGCCAGTACCGAAGCCAGAACGCCGGCTCGTGCGCCGTCCTTCAGCGTTTGTTGGTGTTCCACTACGCCTGTAAGTTGTTAGAGACCTAGATACACATGGAATGGATAAAACCCCTTTTTGCTAAACACATATCATCGTCTTAGAGTGAATACCTCGTATGTGGTATTTTTAGGACGAAGAGGAAATTGTGATGTAGTTAACGCAATAATATTTGTAGTTAGAATTTTAATTACTTAAATTATACACCTCTTTCAACAAACAAAAAGTTTATAAGTTTTTCTCCAACAAAAATCAGTAAAAACGAATTATGTGAAAACGAGTATGCGAGGTTTTGACTCTTCGGCGACGAAATGTAGGATGGAAATGAAACGTGAGATGAATTTGTTAACTTTTATTTTGAAAAAATGGAAGAAAACAACTCGCACACAATCGGTATCGAGCACCATCCATCATCTCTTCTTCTCTCTCACACTTCATCTTTCAGAAACTACAACAAATATATTGCAATTGTTAAGAGCTCTCATGCCAAAAAAGTTTTGACGTTGGCTCCGCCCAAATTTGTGAAACAAATATATGCCTGAAGTTCGCGTGACAGGCGACAGGAGATGTTGCATTTTGCGCATTAAAAGTACCAAATTCGTTTTAGCGGAATAACTCTAAAACTAAAGGGATTAAAAAAAATGTCGATCATGCATAAATATAATTAATTATCTAATTTTTGTCCTAATAACCTGTAGCATTTCGAGGATAAACCGAAAAAATATAAAAATTAGAGGTCATTTCGTGATTTTTATCTATCGAGGAAACTTTATTGTTTTATGTTTCTGATTAGTGTCTATGCTTGAGTATATCGTGTAGTTACTCATACAATATTTTATTTTTAACTTTAAAGTGGATATACCCCTCTAAAATCAAATCGAAGATTAGGAATTTTTCTTCTGCTCCCTCTTAAATTTATTGAATAGCAGGATGTTTGACCACCACGAGATTCAATTATTTTTGTTATATTAATCTACTAGGTTGTAATAAATACTCATTTATTCGTTCATTTACCATTTCCAGAGAATGACCGAAGTATTAAATGCAACAACAGGCAAACTAGAAAGCGGGCAACCATCGCTGCTGTGCAAACAGAGCATGTTCGCGCGTTGGCAGTACATCACCAAGCGACTGTCGCCGCTTGAACAGACAATAGTGAGTTGAGCTACGTTGTCTATATTTTTTAACTGCGAATTTGCACTCTATGTTCATTACGATTTGGACGTCAAAAATCCATGGTAGCGATCCGTTTGGCTCTCGTTTGGAAGAGTTACAACAAATTGGTAACAGAAGTATAATGTTAAGTAACATCACAAATCTCCACAAGTAGGACAAAAAATAAGTAGTTAAGGTTTTAGTAAGCAGAAACTAAAACATTATTACTGAAATGTAAACTACATAACGCACCCCTCATGGAAGAATGGCATAATTGGAGTTACGTCAAAATTCTTGTGACTATCGACAATATTAGTCGTAAAAATATAATCTCGAAAATATTAAATAGGAAGTATAAATACAAAAGAAATGCAAAACTGTTTAAACGACGTTTTATGAATATTGACTCTGAGTGGCATTGTAACTGCTATGGACAGGGGTGTGGCTTACCATCAGGCGCACGACTTGTTTGTACCGTCACTTGATGTTTGATGTTATAAAAAAAAATAGACTTTATACAAATTCTATATACATGTGTGCGTCTATATCTACAATATAATTTTTAAATTTAAAAACAAAGGAAACGTCTACTCAGTAGGCTGGTCTTTGCACATTGCTATTCGGTCAGTGTACTGCTGAGTAGTCTATTATCGTCACAAGGCAAATTTATGTCTGGTAGGTTGTCTGTTCATGTCACGTGAAAAGATGGTGTATGTTCGGACGGAGAAGAGGAGTAGACACCCTGTACCTGCTCGTACCCTTCTGGTTAGTGGGAGAGAGAGCGCAATATCGCACTCTCGCTCCGATAATTTATAGTCAAGTTCCGAGTATGCAGCGAGTAAGGCTAACATATTTAATCTTTATCACCGTACTTTTCATTTACAGGATATAGAAATGGATGAAGAAGCGGCCACGATGCCATCGAACCTCGACAGTCTCCTATACAACGAGGCCAAAGAGCGCTGCCACACTTACCAGGTATAAAAGATCAATATCCTAGTTTAGGAGTTAAGCGATCATTTATAAATGGCATTTCTTCTCTTCTTGTACAACTATCGTTTTTGCAATGCACCTTGTAATGTCGTTGTTTTTCTTTATTAAAAAAAATATAATTGATATTCAATTATTTTTTGTGAAATTACTCCACTAGTTTGTTATAATTATTAATACAGAAGAAGAATCCGGCCGTATCGAGGTAATTTTTTCTAAGTGTTCGATGTTTGTATTAACAATTATAACAAACTAGTGGAGTAATATCACAAAAATAATTGAATATCAATTCAATACAAATTTAATTACAATCAATAGCGATATCTCTAGCCAGGGCTGGTAGCTGTAAGGTTACCTAACTAGGTGACGAAATACTTTCATAGACCTCTCATAGATGGTGCGAGCATTCTCGATTATGCGCGAGAATTCCGCGGAAGACTCGCGACGTGTTTTTTGGCTCGTATCTAGTTCGTACATTACACAATTGACCATAAATTTCATTATGCCATGTACAATATCGTATACAAAATTCGTCTCATTCTGTTCCCCCGCAATGTCCATTGAGCCTAAGTGGTGACTCTGCAAAGCGGACGGAACATATGCTTGGAGCACTATTGACATCGTCAGACAGGTGGTACACGACTGACTACTCACCACGAGTAACTTTTTTTTTATTTAACCAAGTGACGGGACGAACAAGTCGTGCGCCTGATGGGAAGGTACACGCCTGTCCATAACAGCTGTCCATGCAGTGCCACTCAGAGCTTTAAATCGCAAAGATTTGAGCGGCACTGCCACTGCGCCCGTCACCCTGAGACATAAGTTGACAAGTGTGCCTGTAATTCCACCAGCACCCTTGCCCTTCAAAACCGGAACACCGCCAAAACTCGACCAATCAGCGCAAGCCTCGCGATGCAGTCCTCATCAAGCTCTCGCTTTAAGCCAGCACGTTGGCTAAATTACACATGGTTCAAAAACACTTGTCATGTAGGACTTTCGACAAGGCTTCCGGTGGAAATCGGACTCTGGATCTTCTGTATAGGAGGCAAGCGTTCTCCCAATATAGCCTACTTCTCTAGATGATAATTATTATTTTTAACTTTCAGGCCGCAAAAGACCGACTAATTGAAGCGTTCGAGCGCGCGAAGCTCGGCCGCTGGATCAAGAAGCCGATTGAACAAGATCAGTTCGTTTGCGAGATTCTAAACGCAGAGCCCGCAGCACTGTTCGCCTAGGCGGGCCCTAGTCTATGCGGTAGCACTGTGCAGAAGGATTATGACGTTGGGGATAGGGAAACTACTATCGATGTCAAGGAAAGAAACATTGTCACAGTTGAAGGTAGGAAGGCAGGTAACAGATCAATAGCAGGTAGGGAAATGTGCGTTGGGGACGGGGGAATGGCGATTGGAGGTATGATTTATGATAAAAAGATAATGATAGATAAAGATGTGTATGACGTTGAGGAACTGACGGATATGGGTACGGTAATGAATAATGATGCCATAGCAATGAATATTGAATTTACATTGGGTGTGGTAATGAGATCGGGAGAAATGTGTGGCGGTAATCAAGTCGGTGCGATGTTAGATGATAAGAATGAGAATTTCTATCGTGGTATTATAAAAAAAGATTGCAAGGAAATAGTAAATGATGCTAGAAGAAAAATGTATATTGATTGGAAAAGTAAAACAGAATATCTGAAATCTGTGGAGAATGTAACAAATACTTCAGATGGAATACATGATTTGAACGAATCCTCGAATAACATAGGTGTGCGGGATTTGAGAGAATCGAAATTTCAACAGTCAGCCCTTCGATTGAGAATTGAAAGAACGAGAGAAAAGAACATAAATCTCATTCCAAGATTGGATTCATGTAATGAAAACAACAAACTTTCGGAAATTAAAGACACTGATGATATTATCAGTAAAGGTAAAGATACGGTGAGCAATGCTATAACAGATGATAAAAATAGAGTTAATTCTGGCGATGGTAACAGGAAAGACGAACAAAGCGAAAACGATAACGTTGTATATGTAGACAGGCATGAAGTGACAACTGAAATTATGACAAATATTTACAAAGATATCTTCGGTGAAGTAGACGAAAAAGACACTATAAACCATTTGATACAATTACGACAAGGAGAAATTGAAAAAGACTTTACAGCCACCGAGCCACATAGAATGGAGATGAAAATGGATGAGTTTAAGGAAAACCTGGAATACAAACATGTTGAAAGAGTTCTAAAAGAGAAAGGAAGGTTGTTTAACATTAATAAGCAAATATTAAAGGAAAACAATGGAAATTCATTGTCGAAAGCCAATGACCAAGATCATTCTAAAGAAAAACAAAACGAAGTAGAAAATTTTGAAGTCAATAACGACAATACTATCAATATACGATTAGAAGAGCTGCTTAATTTCAAAAAAGGTGGCTACACTCGCACTCTGCAACGGCATCAAATACCAAATTCAACTTCAGCATCTATTGAAATTGAAAATATGACTTCAAAACCTATTGAAAGCGAAAATGAAACTTCAATTGAAGGACCAAAACATCCTAGACTAAAGAAACTATTAGCTTTAAGAAGTAAAACAGAACAGTGCTATAGTGAGAAAAATTTTGACACACGTCTGCAGAAACTTTTAGCAAGTAGAAAGAAAAATACAGACAAAAACACTCAAACTTTAGACACCTGAAACTTTAGATGGCTGAAGTATACAAGAACTACAAAAAATATACAAGAGTTCAAAATGAAAATCGATTTTCAAAGTAATCTGAAATGTTTCAAAATTGAACGTGACACTGTATCCATATACTCGATGACGCTTCAAGTTTGGCAAAAAATCATTCAAATATGAAAAAACACAAAAATATTTATTAGACAGAAAACTAAATTTCTTTGGAAGAATTCGTCAACTATACTCTCTTTCTAGTGTATCATCTACTATCTCATGATCGCATATCCACATGATCGCGTATCAAAAAACGCCCTTGGTAATGCAGAGGCGTCCGTAGCGGTGTACGTATCCATGTGAAAAATGGACTTGGCCGTTGCGCAGCAATGGTTTTGATCATTCTGTAATTGGTTAATTATTAATATGAAAGGTCAAGGCCGGTGTGTGGCTGTCGGTGGCTTTAAGGCCGTGTGAGGGAGGTCGCCTGCTTGATCTTCGCTACTTTTCTTTACCACAACCCGTAGTCTATAGTTTTGTAGTAACGGGGGATGGAAAGAGTTTAATGCGATGGTGTAACCAATTGGTGTATGTATCATGGAACACATCATTTTATAAATATTCTGGTGGAGAGGAAGTCCGTTTGTCAATAAAGGCCAGCTGATGTCGTTCTTTTATTGACACAACCACTTCTACTGTGTTTATTGTTCTGTGGTAGCCTCTAAACGGACGAGATTAATCGGAACCCTCCGCAGTTTAAAGATCATCTGCCCAATTAGTGTAGGGATGTCAACCATACGTGGAATATATTTCTCGCAAATATTTGTCCCCCCCACCACTTACTAAATTATCGTCTGTTTAAAGGTAAAACCACATAAGTGGCATTTCTACAAAAAGTTTATATAGCTATGGTAAGAAAATCACTACCTTTCTGCAGGTGAAACTCAAAAACAAGAAAGCTATAAACTCAATAAGTTGTTTTATTTGCAGAAAGATGGTGATTTTCTTACAACAGGTACGGACAACAGCGCATCGGACTACACATTTTTGTTCGAAAATCGCGTCCAATGCAACGGAACAAGATACGTCAATGTGTAGCTTGATGTGCTGTTGACTGTACATAAATTGGAGATTTTTTTGTGGATTTGTGGAATGTCACTTATGTGGTTTTACTATATGCACTCGGTTCCTTCAAAATGTACAATAAAATTTTTTTGTATTGATTTCTTTGACACTACCATTAGTAAATTTAAAAAAATGGCACTACAAATTGTAAATGGCATTTAATAAATTGTAAAATTCTAGTTAAATATGAAACAAGAATGTTATCATTACAAATAGTTCCACAAAATACCATGTTATAGCTGTCTTACGTATTATAAATTATTAATAAACTGTTTGTAGTCTAGGTCTATTTCAGAGACGAATGTATGTGAATAATTACTATTTCATATATGAATGTGTCTTGTCACAAATAAAAAAAAAGTATACTATTTATATTATTATGATATTATCCAATGGTAGGACTGGGATCAACTAGTGCCACCTATAATATTATCACAGGTAGAAATGGGACAGGTTAAAGTCTGTTCCAAAACATTTTGAACAAAAAATAAACAGAACTGTTTGGTTAAAATTCTAAAGCAATCACTTAATATATCGAATAAATAACACATTCACGTATATTTCTACGATTTCGACATATAACAGCACTTTTTCCAACAATATTCATTTGAATAGCATCGCAAAATCGTATTGGAAAATGGTAGTCCGAAAGTGAGGTTATTTTTCAACTGTACAATTGTCTATGGTTGTATAGTGCTGTACGGAAAAAAATTCGGTTCATTCAATTAAAGTTTTTGTAATCGATTACTAAATCGAATATTTCAATCGCAATCGAACGAGTATCTAAGTGTAAGCATTTGAAGGAAGACAAATCGATTGATTCAATTAATTAATCGATTTGTAGTTGGCATTACAATTGTTTATCACTATACCGTCTATGGTCGGGTCAATGACTTGTTGGTTTACTTTTTGTGCAAAATGGATTGAAACGAAGTATAGTACCACTAGTAATAGTATAGCTAGTCCGAAGGGTTTATTAGAAATTTTCTAACGAAGCAGAAGCGTAGCGATGTGCTTTCTAAGTTCCCTAACGTCATATTTTATTGTGATTTTAATTTATAATTGTATAAAATTCTGCACCGTGCTATATGTTGCGTAGAAAAAGGCCAACCTAGGCGTTCAGCCTATTATAATAATTTGTAAATAAATAAAATATAAGATTTACATTTCAATCGTTAAAGTTTGTACACATATCGTAGTCATCAAGTCGCTGTTACCGAAATTCAGCGGCGTAATTTCGACCCTTTTAGAATTTACTCCAAGTATAGTCGTCACCAAATAAAGAGGCCAAATTTCACACTTGTCATCGCGACATGTTTAGGGATGTGAACTAATCAGACGATTTTCGCGATAAATCGATTCAAAATTTTATGAGTTTAGATTAATTTTCGGTTCGTTGCTTTTCGGTTCTAGATAGTACAATTAACATGTATAGAAATATCATACTATATACAGTCTTATATAAATAATAAGTATTTTAAATGATCACAGCGACAAACTGTACCTGTTGTTGTAGTATAGTTACATTAGCCGAGTTACATTAACACAAGGACATCTTGTAGTTATAATAGCAAAATTCTACAGTAAAACAAAAGTATTAATAATATAAATTTTTATTGACTGTAATCGGAAGATGAGCCAAAATCGTCAGTTGAGCTATTGTCAATATTTACATCTTTATCAAAATCTTTCTTTATTAATTTTCTCGTTTTTCGAGTGCCGCTGGATCAATATTAGTGTTGCCAATTCAAAATTCACAAAAAAGAAAAGGACATACAAATCTGCATGGCTTTACGGCTATGAGTACCCGGCTCTTTTAAACTTTTGTTTTAATATTTAATAAGTCAATTTTCTGAGATATCGTAATGTCTCTGTGAAATTCGGTGATTAATTGGTTATAACTGAAAAGGTTGTAACCCTAACAAGCAGTGACCAGGTAAAACAGAAAACTTCCGGTCTACAAAATTAAAAGTCGGGTTAAGAAGAAATGGTAACAAAGAAGTAAGATAAGGCTGTAACAATAAAAAGGTATATATAGGAAAACAGGATGACAAAGATATTAGACACTTACCCTTAAAATGGCCGAGTTATACTGAATTACAGGTACGTATTCATAGGTACAAGATAAGGCTGTAGAATGTTATACACTTATTAGGATTGACACATGATTTAGTTTATATTGATTGATTTGAACAAGAATGTGCCGCACCTTTAATGACTTAATTAAGGATAACATACAGTTAGATATATTTAATTCTAAGTGTCATATATTTAAAAAGTCTGTTGCGGGTGTCCTCAAGCAGTCTAGTTGAAGTCTCGCAATTTTATTTTAACACTTTTTCTCTATGGTCTTTTCTTTTGCTCTATTTGTACCAACACAAAATTTGTAATTTATAATTAATTGACAGAAACTTTCAAAACACGCTGTACGTACACGCTCCTGGTTGGCATTCTGGTCCAAATCTAGTTTTAAGCAAATTTATTTGTTAAATCTTTCTTGAATGTCGACTGTTGTGTTCGTCTAATAAATAAATAAATAAATAAATTATAACGATTATAACTTAGTAAAAGAATAAAAATTAGACGCGATTGAATTTAAACAACTCCGTCCGCTGTCGCGATCGAGCAGGGAGTGTCGATGGAACGAAACAAAATCAGAACAATTCAAAATTTAAATATGATATGCCAGGAACCGGAGAAAGACGATAAAAAGGTGGGATGACGATGCAAGGAGGTTACACTGTCACACAACACTATTATTAAAAAAAAATATATTGATGACGTAACTGTTTTAAGAGACGTTTCGAAGTAACTCAAAATTGTATTAAGCCTTTCAATATTTTTTTTCGTTTCGTTGATTGCATTCGAAGTTACATATTGCCGTCTGCTTTAGCTGTCAAATTTGACTTCTTATTTGGTGACGACTATAGTGATCATAAGGTCATCACAGAGTTAGGGCATCTTCAAATTAGACGCTTATAAAAGCGCTGGCAGTG